ATAATTTGTCATGATTAAGTAATAAATTGAGGTATACCAACTGATCATTTACATATAAGAAGTGTATGTATATGCATTAGTTTAGTGTAAATATAGGCTGTTGATAAATTTTTCGTGTATTAAGTCGATGTCCATGAAACATAGTTTAATTGTGGATATACTTATTTTAAGATAGTAGCATGCCATTGTGATAATTCAAAGTCAGTATAGTATAGTTTAATTAGGTTTTGTTTTAATTAGGTGCCGTTTATGCCCACAGTCTCGTTGCTGTCTTATCTCTCACCCTAACAAACCGACATTGACTAAAAACACATTGCATATCTTCGACCTAATATGGGACAGCCTGCGACTATTGCCCTTTCATCCCTATCCTAAATCCTAAATCCAAAATCATATATAATTCGTCAAAATATATAATGTCACATTAATACCAACTGCCAATTAGTGCTTTGCTGATCATTATTGACCGTCATTATTTTTGAAAATAGAATTACTTAATCTCCAGCTTATCCCTACCCAATGGGTGGCTCAAGGGGAAGGGCGGGACGCTAGTAAAGCTTTTTTTAGGCCCTAAAAAATATTAATAGTAAAATATATAATGATATATTTACCTAGATAATACTGAAGTTTGTAGAAAAAAGGTGCAAAATCTTTATAAAAAAAGGGAAAAAAGGCTGTTAAAAAAGGTTGTCTATTTTAAACGGTAGAAGTACTTTACTATTCAAAGTGTTTTACAAGAAGATCCAAGATAATACATTGTAAGTACATAGCTAACATCTTATTAATTTGAATTAATCCTTACCAATATAAGCAATAATATTAGGTACTGTGTGAAATCAAAAGCTTTACGCCTTGTAAGAATACCACACTATAAATAAATGTGCGTTTAATGTATTAGTAGTAATATTTTTCTTATTAATGTATGCTTCAATGTTACTAATCCGTATTGTTGATGTTGCATAATTATTATAGATAGCGTTTTAAATTCATGATTAAAGAAGATAAAAATACAGTAGCTAAAGTTTTATGTTCTTTTTTTGCTTTTGTTTTTGCATGTAACACCTGAAATGTGTACTGCAAATCAAGTTTTAGCTTTTGGAGAATTTGGGACTTGTCCTCGAACATTGATTCTGGGGCCACCAATTCATTTTTTTGGCTAAGAATTTAATTCTATTAGTCAAGATAAACTTCTCAAGATTGTTTGTGATGTTTATGAACACGTGGGTTTTGTTGCTGGATGATGATGAATGACTACTCAATGAATCACTAGAAAATTGGATGGATAGTTTCATAAATCACCGTTAGATGACGACATTTTATATTTTTTGCACAGAACGAGAGAAAAATTTGAGGAAACTAAATTGGTTATATTGTAATAAGCACAATAAAAGATCATTTTTTTAAGATTTAAACCCCATTAAATGTGAATTTGTAATAAACTTCGACAAATATGTTAAAATTCAAGGCGGAGGTACGTACGTAGACCAAGAACTTTAAATTTAAATCCATTTAACGTGAGCCTGTAACCATTTTATATACTATTAGTAATATCTTTCTTATTGGTGTATGCTAAAATATGTTACTACTAATTCGTATTATTGATGTTGCATTAATATTAATTTATCCGTCTCAATTTATATGACATTGTTTGACCGCACACAAAATTTAAGAAAGAAGGAAAACTTTTAGAACTTGTGATCTAAAATAAGTCCATAAATATTTTTGTGACTTATAAATCTTCTCATTAAAGAGAAAATTAGAATTTTAAAGTTAACTTATTTTTCAATAAGAAAAATGATATTCTTTTTAAAACAAACAAAAACGGGAAGCGTGTCCCATAATTTGGAATAGAGAGAATAGTATCTTCCTGCTTAAAGAAGAAAAGAAATGTAATAGCTGAAGCTTTATTACTTTTTCAGCTTTTGTTTTTTGCATCTAACATCTGAAATGTTGTACAGATCAAAGTAGGCCAAGGACTAAAGAAAAGCACTTACTCACAGGCGACAGCTCATCAAATGAAAAAAAGGTATGAGGATAAACAAGAAGAAAGAGGGCCCCCTATATATATACTAATCCATCAAACAATTTATAGTACTATGGCTTAACTACTTGGTGCAAGTTGATCAGGGCCCTTCTATCCTGTGTGCCCCGCCTAAACTTACCTTAAATTATTGAAGTTTAAATAGAGGAGAAAAGGCAAATATATTCATTAGTGTTTAAACTAGATTCTTTGTAAAGTATACACATTTTCTGCACAAATTTCAAATCTATTTTTTTTTTTAAAGATTTAGTGCCAATCAAGATACATTTCTTGATAGAGGCAAAATTCAATATTCATACTTGGTCTGTTCAACATTTAAGGTTTTTAGTATTAAATATATCAAAATTTTAAATTATGCATTTAGGTTTTTTATTTGTTACTTTTGCACATTTATGTCATTTAGAGTCTGTTTGGCCAAGCTTCTGAGAGGCTAAAAGTACTTTTTGAAAAATTTAAGATATTTGGCCAAAATGAAAAAGTACTTTTGAGCCGCATCGAAAGTAGTTTTTTTTATTTTTGGGGAGAAGTTACAAATTCTAGTTTCTTCCGAGAAGCAGAAAATTAATTTGTTCAAGACAAAAATAACCTTACAATAAATTTATATTTTTTAAATTATCCCTCCTTAATTTAACATTATTTTTCTTTTCCTTTTCCTTTATTTCAACTATACATTTCTTCTCTTTTTTATTTTAATCATATTTTTATTCTCTTTCTCTTATTCGTACGAGTAGATTTTAAATTTATATTGAATGATGTATTTTGATATATTTAAATTATCATGTAAACAATAAGTAATACCAACCACTCAATGTTATTGCTTTGAAATAACTATATTTTATATTGATTGGAATTTTTAATTTATATTTTTACTTTACATTTTATATTTTAGTTAAATTCTTTTATAATAAATGTTTAAATTTATTATACTAATCGCAAATTAAACCTTTACTGTCATTTTACGTAATTTGATACTTAAAAGTGTTTTTCTAAAAGATTGGCCAAACACAATGAGCTTGCAAAAAGCATTGCTCAACTGAATTGCCTAAACACAAACTGTTATTTTACAAAAGTACTTTTTCAAAAAACACTTACAAACAAAAATACTTTTTAAAATAAATATTTTTTGGCAGCTTGAACGGGCTTTTAGAATTGATAGATTAATTAATGATGGATACATTTTAGGACAGAGTAAAAACACGCTAAATTTGGTTACATTTCTTTTAATCTTATACAATGTCAACGTATCCTTCTAATTGTATATAAATTGTAATAATCTCAAAAATATCATAAAAACATATATCCAGAATGTGAAAAATCTGTTGAAACGCAGGTTTTGCCAAAAGGTGAAAATTTATGACAAAATGATTTAGGTTGTCATACATGGGACCATGCACGTTATCAATACTACTCCGTATTTTTTAATGTCTCACTGCCAACTTTAGGGCAGTTTGAACTTTGACTTGACGTTAGCAAAAGCCAACTTGTTGTTTGAGTTTCTAATTTGGTATAGTAAAGTGCATTAAACTTGCATGTGGATTTAATAGTCAATTTTGATTTTGATGTTACAGTGATTCTCAAGTTGTCCTTTGGTCAAAATTTAATATATATATCCACAAACCTTTTTGTTTGGAAAAGGGGGTGTCTGTGGTCAGCGACCAAAATAAATAATTAAAGGCTGTCATTTCCTTATTTAAAAATGTTTATGTTTATTGTGGCTCAGAATAAATAAACAGCTTCTTGTAAATAGATAAATTAATAATTTCCCAGAACAAATATACTTTGACATCTGTCAATTGTCATGATTTCTCTATTGCACGTTCGGCTTCAACACCAAAGTATTCCATCTATTACTTTTATGTAAAAAGATTATATCGAGAATGAAATTAAAATATAATTTGATTCACTATGGTATAAAAGTAATAATTTGACAGAAAATATCACGTAGTTTTTTCGCGGTTAATTAGATTCAAATCTAGGAACTTGTGACATATAAATAAATATTATTACTGAAAGAACAGCGTAAACTATTTTAAAAATTAAAATGAAAGAATAAATAAAAAAATCACACTATATAATAAATTTTAAATAGATAAGAAAAAAAAAGAAAATAAAAACGGAGAGACCGTTTGACTCGGTGAAAAAAATGAGACCCTTTGACTCGAAATAGAGGAATGTTCTGGGTTTTTGACAATTTCTTAAAGCAAGATGATTAAAGCGACGCCACTTTCATGTTAGCCACACATTGTTGCCAATGATTAGTTAGCAGAATTAATGTTGTTAATCTTTTCAAAAGTTTTTCTTTTCCTTTTTTTACTTTAAACGATAAATTTCAGTAAACAAGTTGCAATTGGTGCATTTGGTCTTTGACTTGTTGTTTTGTCATGCTAAGTTGGAATAATTGGACCACACTGTAACCTGAATCACCTAAGTACAAAAGCATTAGCTTACTTACATATCACATTCACTTGATAATTTTATTAAATTTTTTTATAAAACTCTTCCGTAAATATTTCATAAATGTAGATCAAAAGTGGCAAAATTCTAAATGATTTTTCAACCAAACAAATCGTGAATCGCCTGATCAAGTCGTCCTGGACTATATTAAAAAATAAAAAGCGTTCTGAACAATATAACTTTTGACAATAAAAGATCTGAAAATTAAAAAATTAAAAGAATAGAAATTTTAGTATTTTTCAGCTCAACTAAGGAATTATTACTTTCGTATCATTTAAAAAACTTTTCTTTTTTAGATGAGGAACAAAATATTTGTTATTTAGCACTCCAAATTCATTTGGAAATAATAATTATATTTGTGATGAGCACGGAGAAAAAAATATTGTACTCTATCAGGAGGGTGCATTAGTCATTTCAAATACTATCATTTCTGGAAAGTAAATGGATGGTACTCTCTGCAATGTTCCTAGAAATCATTTCCCCTTTTATCAGTTCATAATTTAGATTCCTATTTCCCCATATTTTAATCCATTAATCACATTTCTCCCTCCATTAATTAGTATAATAAATTTTCACAGCATCACCAAACAAATCTGCAGCTATAAAGGGCCCCACCAATTTAACATTGTTTTCTTTTCTTCCCTTTGGCTTCTTCTCTCTACAATGAAGCACTGCAAAAAGGGTTGGCAAGAATTGTTGGAGAAAAAGGAGTCATTTGATTCTTGAGCTTTATTCTATGCTCTACCCATTTGAATACTCATGTTGAGATTTTTTCCCTTTTGAAACACCATTGTTTCTTCAAGATCTGATTTTTTTTTTTCTCGCACCATCTATGCTCCAGGTACAACCCAAGCTGCTGTTTCTTCTTTTAATTCAATCTGCTAATTGGTTTTTATGGTTTTCCTAATTGTGTCTTTGTTTTTAACTTAATTTTTTTTTTCTAATTCTGTTTTCAGCTTTTCTTGGTTGAGGTAAGCTGTGGTTTGTAATGATGTTTAATTGTTAAGTCTTGGAAATTACCAATAAACAGTGTTCACAATATCATATGTGCTAAGAAAATTTAATCTTTTTTCTTTTTTGGTGTCTAAATCAATTTTTTTTTAATTTTGGCTTTGTGGTTTCAGTATATCTAAACTTCGGAAAGTGAAAAAAAAAGGATTTGGGTGAACTCATTTAAGGAATAGGTTAAGCTATTAAATTTGATGGTAATTCTTTAACTAGTTCTGTTTCTTATTGCTCAGGGTACTTGAATTTGAAATTTTGTGCTAATTTGTCCAATCTGTGAAAAAATATGGTAGAACTAGTAGATTTTGACTTCTAAGGAGTTGTAGGACAGACATTTGACATAGAGTAATTCTATTCATAGGTGTTTTCCATCTAAGCACATGACAGCTATATCAAAACATCTCAAGATGGCATTTGTATTTTGTAATTCGCTGAAAAGATAATATGATCGATGTCTGGACTTCACGTCATGTACTTAGATCACCTATAAAGGCCATAACTGTTTGTTTGTTTTTGTTGTATAGCACTTGTTTCTCTCTTGATCTCTTGTTCTGTTAACTTTGTATAGCACTTGTTTCTCTCTTGATCTCTTGTTCTGTTAACTTTCTTACTCCTCTGTCTCCCTTTTTTTCCCTTTCATATTATTTAGTCACACCAATGACTGAGATGAGCCACTATATTTTCTTGCATTTCTGATAAGAGCCCTTAATTTTAAGCTTTGCTTCTATTCTATTTTGTGAGACCTGGAAATAGAGTTATGATGTTAGTTTGACTTGCATAGTATTATATAAGTAGCATTGCAATAATATCAAAATGATGGGTGAGAGAAGTTACTTCGATAGAAAAAAAGAACATCAGATTAAAGTTTAAATAGGTAGTGAAATGAATTAAATTCTAGTAACTTGTGAAAGTCGTTATGATTAGAGTATTGGTGGAAATATATTAAACATCTTGGATGGAAGTTTGAATGTTGTTATTTGTGACGGTGGTGTTTGGGCCAGTTTGCGTGCACCTCGACTATTTCACTGGGTACCTACTATTTCCCACTAGCATAGGTACCAAGTACTTCTGCTCACCAGTTCTTAGGTAGATGGTAAGAAATGACCTAGTGTTTTGGAAGTTCTAATATGGAAAGAGTATTCTATAAGTTGGGGCAAAAAGATTACCAAACTAATCAGTTTTTGCTGTCGGAGAATTTTTTGTGAACCGTATAAGAAGCAGGCATAAGAGAGGTAGTTGTTCTGCTAATCATCACAACTACATCTAACCTGCATCTTTCCACCCCTCATCTTGACTATCTGTTGCAAGTAGCCGCATAGATAATATGCTTTTTGATTTATGCAGGACAGGTTAATGGAGTTGACATCTGTAAGGTGCCTTATAAACAGTATCTCTCGATTCATTCATCTTGTGACGTGTCTAACATCAAAGACTATGCCTGGTCAAAAGAGTTATAAAAATATTGCGACTTTGTTGAAGCTTTTAAAACCGGTACTTGATGATATTGCTCAACAAAAAGCTCCTTCAGATGAAACCATATCAAGGCAGTGTGAAGAACTGGACATAGCCATTAATGAAGCTAGAGAATTACTGGAAGAATGGTCTCCTAAGAAGAGCAAGATTCTCTGGGTAACGGCCATTTTTAATTTCCTTCTCTGTTGTAGACATATCCTCACAAAATGAAGGAAACTGAATGCAAAATTTAGGATCTTCTGTAGGTTGCAGGGCAGAGTTAATCGCTCTGACTGTTGTTCCCTAATTAAGTATACACTTTCGTGTTTCAGCTTCCAAAGAGTTTGCACTACGTAATTTCTGTTGCATTTATTTTGTTCAAACATAATTCATTCTAAAAGGATTCATCATCCATGATTAAATTCTGTGCTGTCAATGTTACATTGATTACTTGCCAGCGCATGAAGCTACCTCTTATTGTGGCTAGGATCTGAGTGCCAGTGTCATTTCCTTTACCTTTCGTGTTAGTTTGCTTTTTCTGCTTGAGACTAGTCGTTGTGAATAATTCTGAGGAAATAGTCTTCCTCTATAAGAAGAATAAAACTCTTGGTTGCCTGTACATGGTGTCCTCAACTGTCTTATAGTGAGAGTTGGTGTTTTATTGTGCTGCTGATAAGTATTATGCTATTTTATTTGCTTTGATTATGTCAGACCAACTTCTGCTTATGTTAGATCATGTTCATGTAACAAAGTCTTCAAATACCTTACATAATCAGGCCTTCTCAGTATAGATCATGTTATGCACTGCTCCAATTACTATCTCAAAGTGCAAAAATACTGAAATGGTGTTATCACATAAGTAGAATGAATTTATGTAGCACCTATCAAAAAAAGGAATGAATTTATGTATCTAGTAGACTAGTACTCTCATTTTGGACAAATTTTCTGCAGGCTTTTTATGTAATTGCCCTGCTGAGTAAGATCACTGAGTTACATCTATTCACCTGATTTATATGGGGTTTAAATATAACAAGATCAATAACTATGTCAAATGCTCATGTTTAAGCTCATGATCCATGAGATTGGTGTTCTTATCAGTTCTCTAATGCTTTTTTCTGTCTCCCTCCTTGGAGGAGAAGGGCGACCTTTTTTTGAAATCCGGATATGTAGTAAATCTTTTACTTTTCTTCCTCCATTTGTAAAATCTAGAAATTAGATCAAGCTGCACGCCTGACCTCATTCTACCATAAAATTTCCAGTTTGGAAAAAAATATTTCTTTTCAGTTATCATCCAGTTATCATATATGAGTTGAGCAAATGGAGAAACATGATCAATGAGGATTCATATAGCCAACCCAACTTGTTTGGACTGAGCCATAGTTGTTATATCGTCCAGTTTTATTGAATTGAAAGTAACGGAGAATTAAATCTAGCTTATCACAAGCTTTTCCATTTCTATTTTTTTGATGAGAACTTATTATATATTTGATATTTCAGGTTTTGCGGAGCGAGCCACAATTGCTGAAAATCCAGAGCATTGCACTCAAGATATCTCACATTTTAAGTAAATTAGTAGAATCATCACCACCCACTTTGAGTCTTTCTGAAATTCAGGTTTGGAGCATTTTAAATATCACGAGTCTTTAGTTGTATCCTTCATTTTCTTGTTAATAATCTAGCTCAGTTAATTACTTGATCCTGACAGTAGCTCGACTGATTCCAATTTCCTGTGCTTCAGCACTTCATACAGGAACTTCAAAATTGCGAAGTGGGGAAAATATCAAAACACATAAACATGGCTCTTGAAGGAGGAAAGGTTCTTCGCTCTGAAAGTCTGACAGAAATCATTCACTCCCTTAATTTGGCATCTCACGAAGAACTGTTGAATGAATGTATTGCATTAGAGAAGGAGAGAATGAAGGCTAAAGATAATAAAACAAGAGGAGATTTGGATAAGATCACCGTTTCCATTGACCTCTTCTCTCATATTCGTGATTGTATGCTTGAACTTGACACCTTCAAGGCCATAGATGGTATTAAGATCCCTCCTTATTTCCGGTGTCCTTTGTCTCTGGAACTGATGGTGAATCCAGTCATTATTGCTTCAGGCCAAACTTATGATCAGACTTCCATTCAAAAATGGCTGGATCATGGACTAACTACATGCCCCAAAACCCTCCAAGCGCTCGCACATTCAAATCTTATCCCAAACTACACTGTTAAGGCTCTGATAGAAAATTGGTGTGAGGAAAACAAGGTGAGGCTGGATGACGGGAATTTTGAGTCCACTCATGATGGAATCTCATCAAAATCTGGACACCTTATTGACATGGACAACGTGCGAGGTTCTTCAGAAACTAGCAATTCAACATCAAGACTCTGTCTTCAAGGTGGACAAGCTTTTGAAAGTCAGAAGATTGATTGCACTTCTGAAATAAGTGAAGAAGAATTAAGTGCATGCCGTATCAGGGAGGCTGAAAAATCTGGCCACACATCCCCAGGGATTTCCTATAACCACAGCAGGAGCGAATCAGTATCAAGTGCTGTTTCCAGTATTGATTATCTTCCCTCGGCATCAACTGATGTCTCCAGGATATCAAGCAAACATGATAATGTGAGTGATACATCTGGAGAGGTACAATGTGATTACCGCGTTTCTTCTCCGTGTAACAAGAGTGTTGGGAATTCTCCTAATTTATCTGCAAGGCAATATCACAGCTCCAAAACAATGGGTGGGATGGCTGTGAATGGACTCCACAACCATGCTAGACAACTTTCTTTACCAACAAAATCAATGTCTGATGATCTGACCACGAGTTCCCATGTTGAAAAGCTTATTAGAGACTTGGATAGTCATTCAACTGAGGTGCAAACGACAGCTGCAGCAGAATTGCGGTTTCTGGCAAAGCACAACATGGAAAACCGAGCTATTATAGGCCGCTGTGGGGCTATTGCTCCACTCATCTCTTTGCTACACTCTGTTGTGAAGCTAACTCAAGAGCATGCTGTCACAGCACTACTAAACTTGTCAATAAATGAAGACATCAAGGCCATTATTGCAGAACAAGGGGCGCTTGAACCCCTTATCCATGTCCTGAGAACAGGAAATGCTGGAGCAAAAGAGAATGCTGCGGCAGCTCTTTTTAGTCTGTCTCTTTTGGAAGAGTACAGGAAAAAGATTGGGCGTTCTGGAGCAGTTAAAGCCTTGGTTGATCTTCTTGGTTCGGGTACCATCAGAGGGAAGAAAGATGCTGCTACAGCATTATTTAACCTGTCAATATTTCATGAAAATAAGGCTCGCATTGTTCAGGCTGGAGCTGTGAAGCATCTCATTAGGTTGTTGGACCCTTCAAATGAATTGGTCGATAAGGCTGTTGCTCTTCTTGCAAATTTGTCTACCATTGCAGAGGGCTGCTTAGCTATTGCCCGAGAAGGAGGTATACCATCACTAGTCGAGATTGTTGAAACCGGATCTCAGAGGGGAAAGGAAAATGCTGCCGCAATACTGCTGCAACTGTGTCTCAACAGTCCCAAGTATTGTCGATTAGTGTTGCAAGAAGGTGCTGTTCCACCACTTGTTGCATTGTCTCAGTCGGGCTCCCCAAGAGCAAAGGAGAAGGTACGTAGCTTTGTCTTCTTTAAAGTGTGTTCTTATTTGTCCAATAACTAGAAAACGTTTTACGTAGGAAAAGATTCTACTCTTATAGGAGGATTTGTATGATTTGGTGTGTGTCAGCGCTTTTCCTCTTGACAAACTTCAAGCTGCTTTTAAACACATCGAATATACACCCACCGTGTGGCGAGATGGGGTGTGTACCCCGAGAAGCCATGACACATTTTTTTTCTTTCTTTATCCTTTTTTTTCAATGTTAGTTATTCCAGCTTCAGGATGATAACTTTTGTATTTTTTTCTCTTTATGGTGGAGCAGGCACAACAACTTCTCAGTCATTTCCGCAGCCAGCGTGAAGGAGCCACGGGGAGGGGGAAGTCATGATGTAGAAGTATTCATGCTGGTTTGCCACTGGGTTCAATATTTATAGAGTCATCGTTTTCTTCAGGAGCAATATTTTTTAAATCATCTGTAGTTTCCCCATTCTTGTTTGTTTTACCATTAGGAAGTAGTTTGCTACTGGTTAGGAATTTGATATGTAAATGGTAGTAGATTCTTGTGTTATAGCCTTCACGATTGGCATCAACTGCTAATAAGGTTTTGTCCCTATGGTTGCTTTTTTCGTCTCTAGAAGACCAGTTGTTAGCTTGTAGATATTGTATATGTGCTCAAAACTCAAGTAAGGTGATGTTTTATACTTCAATACCACACAAGAGGGGATATCATTGTGTGGTGTCCAAGTTTTCGCGTGCACATATTATAGAAGGACCTGGTTCTTCTATGTGTTCCTTATACTACTGTTGCATAATAATAAATGCAGAAAGTAAAAAAAGGGGCAGTCCGGTGCACTAAGCTCCAGTTACACGCGGGGTCCGGGCTCAAAAGGTGAAAATATTACGACCTACTACCCAGTAGGATTTTCCCAACACTTCACTAAATTACTGAGCCAAAAAGCAACATTTACAAAACTCTTGTAAACCTAAGGATTATCTCTAACCCTTTGTGGCAACCAACCTGAGAGTGTTGCAATAATTTCAAGTTAACTCTAACTTGAACAATACACTCAGAGTATCTAATACAATTTGCTTCTAAGAAAGATGAAAGATACAACTCAAAAGCCATACTACAATTGAACTAGAATAAAAGACAAGCACTTGGAACTGGTTCTTCTATCTGGTTCATGTAACTTCAGGTTCGCACACTTGAATCACACAGGAATTGCTTGTAAAATACTTTGCTATTTTGCTCTCAACTCTCGTTTAACTTCAGTGTATGTGCGTGCCTGTAAAATGAGAACATCCTGAAATATATAGAGTTAGTAGAATAGGAAATAACTAGAGTTCTAATGCTATACTCTTCATTGGTGGAATAGTTCTAGTTATCTTCAACTTCTAACTCTTCCCTTATCTAGGATAGAGTTCTCTTCGAGTAAGGAGTCCTGCTCCTTATCAATTATGCAACCTTTTCGTTCAGGAGATATCAGATATAACCACTTAAGCTTATCTCCTTCACGTGCATGCCTTGTGCTTGAAGCCCGTGTTTGTATACACTGTATATGGACCTGATTCATGCTCGAGTATCTTTGCTAATCATCAAAACAAAACTTACTTAGGCAAACAAATTCCCCCTTTTTGATGACAAACTCTGTGCTTTTCATAAGCATAAGACCTGTTTCAACTCAGCTCAACATCAACACAATGTTAGAATACTTTCCATTTTAAAGTTACAAATCATCAAGGACCAGGTTCATTAGGTTATAAATATCACAATCCAAAGTAAAAAGCACAACCTATCTTCCCCTTTTGGCATCATCGAAAAGTTGCATAATTATGTTAGAAAATCAGATTTTCCTTTGCAAGCTCAGTCTTGAGAGCATCCCTCTCATTTTCTACTTCAGCCAACCTCTTCTTCAACCTCTCAATCTCAGCATCCTTAGCCCCACTCTCTTGCACCAAGGCTCTCACTTTGCTGTTCACATGCACCTTCTTGGATGAACCAGGTTCGTTGGGAGCAGTATGGACTTCATAATCACATGCAGTCAAGGTGTTGGCCCCAAAGTGATCTTTGCTTGTGCTAACATTCCATTTCTTAAGGGGTACCTTGAAGTGAGCAAGCACAACAGTGAGAATGAATCCATAGGGTATGGTGTGAGTTTTGGTGCCAGTTAGAACCCTATCAAGGAGCTGGATGATAAAACCCGGCCAATTGATCTTCCTCCCACTATCTAGGCACTCCATAAGGACCAGGTCCATGAAGGTGGCAATGTGCCTTCTTTTCTGCCTGGGAAACATAACTTTGTTGACAAATTCAAAAAGCAACTTGTGGGCAGGCTTTATCTCACTTTTGTATACATCCTTGGGCTGTATCTCTAACTCATTGCCAGCAAATTTCCTTGTAATGGCAAGAGAGGTCGGCAAATTTTCTAGGCTTGGCCATTTTAGCTTTTTTGTAATCATTGTACCTTTCAGCAGGTACCCCCAGACTCTCTCCCAATTCCTTATCATCAAAGCTCATAGCCACCCCTTTCACCACACTGGTGACCCTGTCATTCTTGATTTCAAAATTTGCCATGAACTCCACAATCTTAGTTCTGGCAAATCTTCCTTCCATCTGAAGGACCATGTCCTTCCAACCCTGGAGTTGTAGTTTCTTCAGCAGCATCACCATTCTTTCCTCTTCCAAGTCCTTGAGGAGTCTACCCTTCAAGATAGTTCTTTTGCCAAACTTAACTATCTTGTCCTGCTCTTCACCAGTTTCCTCTTCTTCTTTACTTTCTTCTTTCTCCACTACTTGCATTTTCCTAAATTTTATGGCAGACCTGGTTCTTTTTGCCAAGGTAGAAGGCTCTATATCAAAAGTCTTTGAAGGAGTCTTCTTTTTGGAAGTCTTTTGTTTCTTTTCCTTTGGAGTCACAACCTCCACCTCCTCCGCCTTGTCTTTATCATGAAAAACCAGGTCCATCTCCTCAATTTCAATTGCCTCAACAGGCTCACTCACTTTCTTTTTTCTCTTTGCAACAACTTTTCTTTTACTCTCTTCTAAGGCTCTTTCCAGTTCAGCCTCACTCTGCTTCTTCTGACTCCTTGTAGCTCTTTCTCTTGTAGGAGGAGTCTCTACAGGGATAGAATAGGCAGCCTTTCTCTTCTTGTTTGCCCTAGCAGTTCCATGGATTTTAACTCCTGAACTTTTCTTTCTTTTCGAATTGTAGCTGTCAGACACTCGTTTCAATAGGTCTTCGAGGGGTTCCTGCACAGACGGAACAAGTTCCTGGAACCTCTTCCTCAACCTAACCAACCCCTCAGCTGCACTTGCATTACCAGACCCTCTACCCCCTTCTTCTCTCCAACTTTCTTCCTCCTCAACAGCTTCTTTATTCCACAACACCATAGCCCATGTTTCCTCAGTCATCTCAACAGAAGTAAGTGAAGACTCAACCACTCATTTTCCCTTTCCCCTCACATCACCTTGAGCACCCTCACTCTCGGTTTCTTTTTTCTTTTTTATTTTTACCACCAAGTTTTCCAGATTCAGTGGTCTCTACCCCAATAATAGTGCCAACCAGAACAAATATGTTCTCCAAATTCTCAGTAACTCCAGAAATTATTTTAGACGCAATATTAGGACCAAATGTTACCTGCTCTGTTTCAGATGAAACAGTTTCTTCTCCTTCAGTTGCAGACTTAAATGATTTTTCAGATTTTTGGGGTTCTTCTGCCTGGCTTGCTCTTAATTTCTCATTTATTTTCTTGATTTGTTCTCCTCCAGCGACTACTTTACGAGAAAGCATCTTGAACCTTCCTTTCTTAGCGGTTGGTGTGGTTGAGGGTGTGATAGATGGTGTAGGTGATGATTCTTTGGGTGGTGAAGAAGGATTTTTAGAAGGGTTTGCCATTGATGTGTGTGTAGAAGAGATGAGAAGATAGAGAGAATTGTTTGGCGGCTAGAAAATTAGAAGTGAGGAAATGGGTAAGGCCAAATCAATTTAAAGAGGGAGAGTTTAAGTGGGTAACGATAGCTTTTTAGAAGCTCAAAAGTCTAATCAAACTGGGAAAGTCAGTTTGAAAAGACGTTGGAGTCTTCCCTAGAATCTAGGCAATTATGGCGCGTGGGACTCCTTTTGGTGAAACTGGTTCATTTGTAACAAATAAATTTTGAGGGAGATTGAGATTAAATGGGACTCTTTTTTTTGATCATGATCCAATTACAATTATTTCAAAATATGCGGAGTGGAGAGTACATATCATGTAATCTTGATGAACCCGGTTTTTCACTGAGAATTCTCTTGTGTAAGTCCGAATGTTTCCAAGAAAATAAAGAGAATATCATTAGAGATTAATGAGATATTTTAGCACACGACACAAGAGTATACTACTGAAAGTATGATACCGAGCAAAATCTAATCTAATTATTTACAAAATTCACAAAAATTTCTAACCAAATATCGAGTTAGAACTGGTTCCTTTTAGGTGATCTTAATCATCCCTAATTTTAACTTGTTCCTTTCAAAGTGATCTCTACTTAGAGCTTTTGTAAAGATGTCAGCTATTTGCTTGTCAGTAGCACAAAATTCCACAGTGATCAAACCTTTTTCATAGTTGTCCCTCAAAAAGTGATGCCTAACATCTATGTGCTTAGTTCTTTTGTGATGAACCGGGTTCTTGGTCATACTAATTGCACCAGTGTTATCACAAAAGATGGGGATACAACCTATATAAATTCCAAAGTTCATTAATTGCTATTTGATCCACAATAATTGAGCATAACATGAGGCAACAACCATATACTCAGCTTCAGCAGTAGACAAGGCCACAAAATTTTGCTTTTTGGTGGCCCAAGACACAGGACATGAGCCAAGAAAGTGTGCCATACATGAGGTGCTCTTTCTATCCACAAGAACACCTGCATAATCAGTATCCGCATATCCCACTAAGTTGAAATTACTACTTTTTGGATACCATAGATAAAGGTCAGCGGTGCCTTTTAGTTATCTCAAGAACCTCTTGACAATAGTCAAGTGAGACTCCTTTGGATTTGCTTGAAATCTAGCACAAAGGCCTTCACTGAAAATAATGTCAGGTTTACTAATAGTGAGATATAACAAAGAGCTAATCATTCTCCTATACATCTTCTGATCAACAGATGAACCAGGTTCATCTATATCCAATTTTGTGGCTGTTGCTATATGAGTGTCAATTTCTTTGGAATCTTCCATCTTAAACCTTTTAAGCAACTCTTTCACATACTTCTGTTGATGGATCATAGTTCCATTTGAATTTTGTTTAATTTGTAAACCTAAGAAAAAAATAATCTCACCCATCATACTCATTTCAAATTCACCCCCCATTAGTTTAGCAAATTTTTTACTTAACCTATCTGTAGTTGCTCTAAAGATTATATCAACAACATATATCTGAACTACCAAGAGATATTTACCTTTTTCTTTCAAGAACAAGGTATTGTCAAATTTACCTCTCTTGTAGCCATGCTTAAGCAACAATTTAGATAATCTTTCATACCATGCTCTTGGAGCCTGCTTGAGCCCATAAAGTGACTTGTCAAGCTTGTACACATGATCAGGATATTCCTTGCTTTCAAAGCTAGGAGGTTGCTTGACAAACACTT